GTCATGCAAGTTTAAAAAGTTATTAATTGGTGGTTTATCATTTACGTTTTCGATGTCGATTGAGGTTATATGATTTCAATCGTATACATATTAGACCTATTAGGATCGACTTATTATAAAAAATAAATTATTTATAAATTAATCATTGTTATTCCGTATCTTATTCGATGCCATTTTTTGTGATATTTTTCTGTAGTATCACAATCAGTTATCTTTTGTTTACATATACATACATGGCTTGCACACGATGGACATATATATGGCTCTTTCGGTTTTGCTGCTCGTTCGCTTTTGCTGTTCGTTTGGTTAAACTTCAAAAAGATGCTGCAAAATGTATTTTGCGCCGGAAGTGCTTCAGCTAAGTAAAATTTGTAACCAATAGTAACGAATTGCTGCGACTGCACATTGCGCATGAAATAGCACCTTTACGATTTTATGGGATTTTATGTGTGATAGCCTTTATACTGTGTTAAGCCGTAATCACATTAGCGGTTGAGATTAATAGCGTTTTCGATTTGTTGACTCGACCGACTCCGAGTCGACGGTTTGTTCTTTTTAGCTATAAAAAAAGAGTTAAAATGTATAAGAAACGCTAAAAAGAACAAACTATTTTGACTCGGAATCGGATCGAGTCAACAAATCAAAAACGCTATAAGATTGGTTTGGGATTTGACCAATCAAAGCAAAATTTACTAAACTTAATATTAGTTATTTTTTTTCTGATTGGTCAAATTTCAATCCAACCTCAATCGCTAGTGTGATTACGGCTTTAGGACGATTTTGAAAATAAGCTTTGACTATGAATACTACCTTTAGTTTAATGGTGCTTCCAGTCATATAGTTCATGATTCATGGTGTCATATTGATGTGCATCGTGCGTTCATGTGCGTTGCAAATGGTGGAAGTATCATGTATTAATTTCCTTCTACATATATTGTTTTAAGATAAATTAATGCGCAATGGCCACATCAAAGACTACCAATACATATAATAGACAAAATTGGGAGGATGCGGTGAGCATAAAAAAGTTTTTTCAATATTATTCTTGTGAAAAGTTATTATGCTTTTATGTTTCTTATCGTCTTTATCGTATTTTTTTCATGTAGGAATTTCCGATTCTGTGCCAGACGTGTTTAGGGGACAATCCATACATTCGTATGGTAAGTAAATATTCGATAATTTTCGCAAAAATTAAAATGTCTCTTACAAAAAATAACCTAAAATTTCCTGAATTGTTTGAATTAATAGTCAGACAAATGGTGAAATGTAGATAACTACAATATTTAACAATTTTGCCTTACTTATCTATTGTATTTTTAATTCTGGGAGCTTGTAGGTTTTATTATTTTAACAATTTTATTTTGAAAATAAAATGTTTTCATAAAATATTGTTATTATCAAAATGTTTTATTTGCAGACGAAAGAGAAATATGGAAAGGAATGCAAGATATGCATGCGACCATTTACAGTGTTTAGATGGTGTCCAGGAGCGAGGATGAGATTTAAGAAGACTGAAGTCTGTCAGACGTGCAGTCGATTGAAGAATGTCTGTCAAACATGTTTGTTGGATTTAGAATACGGTTTGCCTATTCAAGTTCGCGATGCTGCTTTAAAAATCAAGGATGATTTACCACGTTCGGATGTAAATAAGGAATACTATGTACAAAACATAGACAACGAAATTGGAAAGATTGATCCGACAACACCTGCTGGTGCCGTTGGCAAATCTGCCGCGGCAAGTGATCTGCTGATGAAATTAGCTAGGACGAGTCCTTATTATAAGAGAAACAGGCCACACATTTGCTCATTTTGGGTGAAAGGTGAATGTAAGAGAGGCGAGGAATGTCCTTATCGACACGAGAAGCCAACGGATCCTGATGACCCATTGGCAGATCAGAATATAAAAGATCGTTACTATGGTGTGAATGATCCAGTGGCGGATAAACTGATGCGCAGGGCAGCAGCGATGCCTAAGCTAGATCCACCCGAGGATAAATCCATCACAACGTTATACATTGGTAATCTGGGTGATGTACTGACAGAGAAACAGCTGCGCGATCATTTTTATCAGTATGGCGAGATCCGTTCGGTAACCATGGTGCCGCGTCAGCAATGTGCCTTCATCCAGTATACACAGAGAAGCGCCGCCGAGGCAGCAGCAGAAAGGACGTTCAACAAGCTGATATTAGGTGGAAGGCGGCTCACAATAAAATGGGGCCGTTCACAAGGAAGGCAGACGATGTCTGCGGCAGAAGCGACGAGAGAGATTCTCGAACCTGTTCCAGGATTACCTGGCGCGTTACCGCCACCACCGGAAAGCATGGGTAACAACTTCTTCAATCTGCAAACTACTCCCGGCATGATGCCGCCAATGATGATCCCACCGCCACCAGTCGCCCCTCAGTTTATGTTCCCACCGCAAATGGCAACTGCCGCTGCGGCACCAATTTTCCCTCCAGGAACAACTCCCATTCATTATCCGAGCCAAGATCCGTCCAGGATGGGTGCGTCACAAGGTATAGGCAAACCTTGGCCAGAGGAGTAAGATAATAACGTTATGTGAACTTTTTATGTATTGTAACAACTCTTGGGAGTTAAAAATATATGATTTTTCTTTATGTATTAACTTTTGTATACGATTGATTCTCATGTATTTCATCAAATATCTAAATATCTACAATAAACGTCGAAATATCTGCTAATAAACGTGAGGTATTGTATTATGCGAAAGCGTATCGCCTTCTACGTCGTTATTGTTATGTGTCTGTAGGTATGACAACAATATTGATTTTTAGCGTGGCACAAGTTAAGTCCACTGCAGCATTGTCTTGTTTAACTAATGTCTAGAATGTGGCAAGACAACGAAGTTAAATTTGACATTTCTCATTCGTAAATATAAAATTCAATTATTTTCATATTATCGAGCTTTTAGATTAAATGCGGCTATGAATATTTCGTTTTGCATCTATGTCAAGTGTGCTGCGCACATTCGAACGAAGCAAAGTGATTAAATAACTACATTTAGTGCTAAATGTGTAGAGTGAAAATAAATTATTAAATAGTGCGTAATACTTAAGTAAAAATTGAATCTTTCTTGCACGTAGTAATATGCAATTACGACCTGGTGAACTCACTGTTGACAAACTTGATATGATAGAAGATACAAAAGGCAATGCCGGAGATCTAGGAAGACTGATTGTCACAAACTTAAGAATCATATGGCATTCCTTAGCCTTGCCACGAATTAACTTAAGTATGAAATGATTATAGATATAAAATAAAATATATAATTTACAATTTGGTATAGAAATATTTGTGGTACCATGAGAAATGTAGAAACATGATTTTAAGGTCAATTTGTTTAGTAACTTAGGTTTTTTTTTCAAAGAAATGAGATGTGTAACGATTTTATAGGCATAGGCTACAATTCATTTATCACAGTGAATACGAAAATTCTTCATACGGTAAGAATTATTTTAACATGAGTATTGTCGCAAAAATAGTAAACAAATGTTTTCTTTTTAGGTCCATGGGGTATATGTACAAGCTCTTTACATACTGACTTCGTTTCGAAATTGTCGATATGAATTTATATTTACCAATCATGACACCAAAAGTACGAGACATTATACTTCAGTTATAGGTGTTTACAGGTGATAATGCTGATCATTCTTTTGATTGTCACATGATTGTTGCTGTAATGATAATTGCTTTTGCAAGGCATTCGTTTACAGAGCTTATGTGTCATCAAAAGTCTACAGAGAAATTAAACTGAGAAGTGGTATTATACGTGAAAATCGATTGGTTTTATTACCTCAAGAAAAAGTGCACTCCTCCGTGCAGGATGTTTGGAATTTATCTGTTGAACAGGTTTCTATCGAATGATTGTCAAATTTCTGGTGAAAAAAATTTTTGTAATATCTCATATTTTTAAGAATTTTTTATTTACTTTAAAATATTTTCAAGAAAATATCTTTTAAACTGCTTCTGTCTCTTTCAGATTTTACAAGTTTTCTTTCGGAAATTAAGATGAGAAATTTTGTAAAATATTTCAGAATTCATATGTATATATAAAGAAAAAGAGATAGATTTCTAAAAAGTTAAAGATAAAATTATATTAACATTTACAGAAAAATTTTGATATAATAATAGACCTATTCTTTGTCACTGCACTGCACTAAAATAAAATTTTTCTCGCTTTTGCCAAACTTCAAATATAGGATCATATAAATGGATCATATAAAGTGTGTTACAAGTTGTTCTTTCCGGTTATATTAGAAATAGTGATAAAATTATTTTTAGATTTTTTAGGATTTATCCTAAATTTTATTTTTAGATTGAGAGTTTTTATGCAATATATGGGATACTGCTACCGAATTTAGAGGGAGTAGAAAAGAAATTAACTTCCGTTTTTTAAATGGAATGTAAATGGCGTTATTTCATATATCATCACAGTAAATAAGATTTCAATGGATCCTAGAAAACTCAAAAAAATTTTCGATCTTTAGTTTCTAATAGATTCCAAGAAAATAGCTTGTAACATTTTATGTCAGTTTATGTGAACCACTCTGTATGTACAATTATCTATTCATTTGAAGTGTATATACACTAATTCAGTTATAAAGAACAAATCAAATTCTAAAAAATTATATGAAGAATATATATATATATATTCTAACATATAAACATTTTTACTAGAGACAGCTTCAATTTCCATTTGTTATTACTTATTATTAAGAAGAAGGTTGCAGTTATAAAATTATACAGCAAAATATCTATTTTTATTTTTTTCTCATTTATTTAACTAATATATTATAATCATTAAAAACATTTTGTTTTTTCATATGATTAGCTCCATTATAATCGACTCTTTCTTCAAATAAGCTCTTCTAAATTTTATTTATAAAATATAATTTAATTAAATATAATTTAAAAAATCACCTAGATAACACGCATATCTAAAAAACGTCTTTATAATACCTATCTATTCTATATATATTATAATATATATAGAA